TCACTGTTAACACCAAAAGTGAAGGTACCTCGAGTGTAAAATCCCTGCAACAGATGTTGACAGAACCTCATGTCAACTCCTTTCCATAAAGCCGCACTTGACTGCGTGTTCAATGTCGAGTCTTCGAATCACTGGACTGTGCAAACCACGAGGTGAAGTGAATTTGCAAACAGTGCAAAAAAAAAAAAAGCTACCTGAAGTTGATATTATGTTCTTGATGGAGTGGGAATGAGACTGTACCTTTTGCATTCTGGGGAGATTGCGTGCTGAGGTTTTAATTTCGACCTTATTGCAAGGTGAGAAAATAATTTCTGATTTGCGCCAAAATGTAATGGGAAGAGAACTGTAAAACTACCCAACATACACACATAACGACAGCGGTGCACTTTCATGCTTGGTTAAGGTCACAGGTGTAATCTTGCACAAATTGCCCAATGGTTAACAACAATTTCAAATCACTTGTTTTGCACCTTACCCGGGTTTGGTTTGTGCAGTTGCATGCATAATATCAACCAATGAATACCCTCATTCAGTTGGAATTGGGATTAAAACTGTCCTCTTCGCAATCCGGACCACATTTAAACTTCGCTAGCCCAAGATGAGCCCTAAAAAGTCATCAAAAGTACCTGGGGGAAAAAAAAAAAACGGATATTTTCAGAGGGAACTGAGTACTCATCTTAACAGTGTCAAAGATTGTCACAAGCAGGTTGCAGTAGGGATCAAGAGAGACCGGAAGATTTACAGAAAAGCACATAAGTGGAGCTCCTTGGAAAGTTTTAGACATCAAATATATTGCCGTTCAGTTCCTTGGACGAGAACAGCGAGTTATGCAGAAAATAGTGACGTTGAACACATGGACAAAACAGCTTAAGAACATCCGAGATATTCATTTCCAAGTCGTCTCTCTTTTTAGCAGATGAACGGGTGAAGGTCAAGCGAGCGAACTGAAAAAGAAAATCGACTTTGAAAATGAAAAGGGGGACTCTGCGTCACTCCCAACTAACCGCCGCTAAATTGTCCACATATTGATGTAGGAAACGGCAGCGTTTGTTTAAGCAAAGAAAAGCAGCCCATTACCGGCGGGCAGCTCGCAGCCTTAAGAGTGCTAATGAGCCCACTGTGCCCTCTCACTATCTCTCGGTATCTCTTTAAACATACAATATTAGCTCTCCTAATATTGCTGTATAATAGATGTGGCCAGAAAGAGGGATCATCTCTGTAAACAGAAGCTGGCACTCAAACATGAATTCATTTCAATGTACTTAATGCCGTTTAAAGTGAATAAAAAGCTATTAAAAAAAAAAAAAGGATATTCGCCCACTCAATTTTCTGTCGAAAGGAAAAACAAAAACAACAAAGCATCTTTGTTGGTTAAGATAGTTCTTTATTATGAAGTGCCACAAAATGCTTTGTGTTCATTGTGCTTACATTGTCTAAATACTGGCTCAAAAGACTCAGGAGATCCTCCCTCTGCACCCGAGAGCCCAGAATCTCCTGAGATTAATAGTGTCAGATATCACTGTACAGCGGTTAAAAACGCCTCACAAAGCCTTACGGACCCATCGTCCAAGAAGTGATTAGCTCGGTCAACGTAGTGCCCTTCAGCTCGGAAATACAAAAAAAAAAAAAAAAAGAGAAAGAAAGAAAAGAAAAAAGAAGAGAGGTCAAGCTAGTACAAGTTTTCAATTCTTCTCTACCTGAATTCTAGTTAGTTTCATTGTGCTACTTTCTTTGAAGGTGGACATGATTGGAATGGAAGTGCTTGGAGAGCAAAAGATCTGGAGCTCACAAGGAGACGCACAACTGCAACCAAACCTGAACCTCGTGATCAAACACCGCATTTTCAGACGATTATTGCTCTTAAAGACCCTGCCTGGAGAATTCGGAGATTTGTTTAGAAATAAATTACACGTGCTTGGAAAGAATTCGCTGGATATAATTGACGATTGAGTGGGCCGCGGTTTCTGCGCATTCGGTGGACGCGCCCGCAACATTGGAAGCAGGTTTGATTTTTTTTCATCATTTTGAAACCTCGTTTTATGTCCTCGTCGGTTTGGGAGGGTTGTGAGCAAGTCTTTTATCTTCACTTATAGCACAGGTGTCAAACTCAAGGCCCAAGGGCCAGATCCGGCCCGCCATGTCATTTTATGTGGCCCGCGGAAGCGAATCAAGCATGTCAACTTGCATGGTTCTTGCTAAAAATCTGTGCCTAGATGTCAAATTTCATGTGTTAATAAATAACGTCAATATTTTGCAATACAGTCAAACCTTGGTTTTCGAACGTCTCTGTTCTCTACCAAATCGGTTTTCGACCAAAAATTTCGAGTTTTTTATGCCTCGGTTCACAACCGAAAATCGGTTCTCGACCAAACTGAGGGCATTTGAATGCACCACTTGACTCCTCTTGCCTGCCTTACACGAGGAAGTGATGCTTCCTTGTGTAGCGTTCCATTGTGAGCAGACATGTTCAATCAAGATTTTTTTTAAAAAAGAGCATGGTTTCGGTTTTTGAACAAATCAGTTTTCGAACAGCCTTCTGGAACGGATTATGGTCGAAAACCGAGGTATGACTGTAATTTTGTTTCCCCATTTACACTCACTTGAACAATTTTTGAACAAACTATTATAGTTGACTTGACTGTTTTCAAAACTAGCAATCGATCAATTTGGTGTGTACAACTAATAATACGAGACAATGAATCATTTATTTGGTTTCACTGTCATAACGGCCCTCCATGGGAATCCGTAACTCCAAAGTGGCCCGCGACAAAAGTGAGTTTGACACCTCTGACTTCTTGGGATTTGAATCATTGTTTCTTAACTGTAACGTCAAGAATGACAATTAATTTAAGGGTCGTACACAGAGCAGTGACTGGGTTTGTCTCTATATGTGTAACTGGCCTCTTACTCAGTCAGCTCGCCCACAAGCGAGTAATATTTTGGAATGTACTGTATTTAAAATGGCAAATCCCGTTGAACATTTTCTGTGCCTTTATAGAATCTCGATCACAATCATCGTTATTTTGTTTGGTCATGAAATCCTCTTGACCGCCACCTAGAGGACCGGGGTGTAACATAATCACGCTGATTATTCTTCCAATCAAACGGGACAGAGTGAGGATTCTATCGCCCGAGCGGAGGTCTGCGTTCTGTTGAGTTCCATTTGAATTATTCCTGTGCATGCTCTTCACATAATTCTCTCACTTCTTATCTGCTATTAAGCACCTTTATGGTATTGCATCGATTTCACAGTCAACAAATATTCCCACTTTATCTTCATCTCCCTGGATTTTGTTCTTCTATTCTTTTTATGTTTTGCTTTGCTTTTTTTTTTTTTTTTAATTCCCGGATAAAAATATTTCGGCTATTGAGACTCATTTTTCAAAGAGCTCAAGATGAGATCGACGGCTGCAACATAACACCCTTTTGACAAAATTGCCGCCTTCACAACATTCTCAGAAGCGTTTGTCTTCATACAAGAGCTGTTAGTTTCGATCAGAGATGAAGGTAAAAGTAGGGCATAAGTGCATGTTCAGTGCAAACTCTTTTTTTTCTTTTTTTTTTTTATCCTCGTCACCCTAAAATAATGCGCAGTGGAAGGCAAATCACTAATTGAATAATCTCCCGATTAAACTCGGGATCTTCATCTCAAAGTGTGATTAAATAAAGGTTACGCACGCCCGAGGAACTGCCGCAATTATCCCAAGTCCTTTTTTTTTAGAAGAATCACTTGTTCATATTAAACCTCTTATTTCCAATTGTAGGGAGCTTGACTGGGGTGCGGAGTTCAATCAGACAACGCAGATGTTCTCTCCGGGTCGCTCTGAGTGTGTGCGTGCGTGAGAGTCTTTTCCACGTTACGTAACGCCAACTCGTCATTACCGAGCACAAATGTTTTGGCGCAGTTGTGCGTGTCCTGCGAGCATCTCCAGGGAAGCTCCAGGAATCTACAGCGGATGTTTTTTGTGTGTGGGGGGGAGAGAGCTGGGTTCAGCCGCACTGTTATCAGCCATATTGCTCAACACTCTCGCCGTGTATTGTTCAGGAACCTTATATGACTTGCGGGTTAATCCTTTTGGTTGGCTCAATAGAAATGAATGGTGCCTGCTGCAGAATAATGTACAGTATGCGGGGGGTGGGGGAGCGGGCGTGGGGGGGTTGTAACTGTGAAGGTGCCAGGCCATCCGGCCGTAAGTGCACGCTTTTTCCGCGGTCTAAGAATGCACACTTGATGTGCGGTTGAATAATGCATTGCATTTCAAGTTGAACACTTGGCAACTTGGATGCCCCTTCACGTCACAGCCTCCACTGCAGTCTTATATCTCTGTTTGAATTTTTGATGAGCGGTGTTACACGCGTTTATTTGTCCAGGACTGAAATGAACAACAGGCACCAAATCCAGCAAGTCGCTGATCCCAGCTCCTCGCCCCCCCCTCCCAAATCCTACTTTAGTTCTACTCACTAAGAGGCAGGCAGTGCATAACGAGAGGAAAGACATTTTGTATTCTTTTTGTTTTGCTAACACTACATTGGCATGTTCCCTGATGTCTGCAATGTTTGTCTTTTTCTGTTTATAACTATCGATGAAGTAAAACATACCTGATTTTTAAAACTGCTATACAGTAGTAGGTAATACTTCGTAAATTCATCATAAAATACCATGCATTAGTGTGATTATTGCTTTGAAAAAATTCTGCGGAGGCTCCAAGAGAAAAATATTGCCCTCATCTATTACATTTCTGCCCAAAAAAAAAAAAAAAGACACAAAAAAAAATAAAAAAGAACAAAAAGAAAGCTTTATATGATGTTGGCATAGATTCGATTTTTTTTTTGCATGCAAATAACCTTTATAAAAAAAAAAAAATTAAAAAAAACTACAACAAAACAAAAAAAAACTGTGGCATATGCTTTGGCCTGTTGTGGTAGAAATAGGAAGTAAATAAAAAGTAAAGTGCAACATAAAAAAAAATTACTTGACAAATAAGGAACTAATAAATAGCTAAATGAATGAATAAATAAATAAATATATAAATAGTTTTTTTTTTTTTTCTACCTCGGTAGTGGAGAGAATATGGTCACTTGGTGCAGAAAAACATTAGCGTTATTATCATTGTTATTACTATAATTATTACGATTATTCTTCCAAAAGCCAAAGGGAAAAAAAAAAAAAAAACCCTCTTTCTACGCGTGGTAGTGCAGAGAGGAAGCCAACAGCCGTTAGCTTGCTGTCGCTATTGTCATCCTCGTGAAAGTCTGAACCGCGTCTCCATGCCAGATAAAAGTCGCGTTTGTGTCGTTATTGTCTCTATCCAGAACAGGGAGGAAAAAGTCAACAGTTTTTGCATGCGTAAAACAGTTCCATCCTTCATCGCGAGGAGAGAAATTGTGCTATCATCATCACCATGAACTGGCTGCGGGGGCAAGCGAGTTGCAGAATGTGAGCAAGGAAGCAAAAGCCGGATCGGAACACAAAATAGATGGTTTGTGTCCATTTGTAGGGAAAATGGCGAGTTTTTTTTTTTTTTTTGCAAGTGGTTCAGGGGGTCATGCATCCAGGGGCCCGAGAGGAGAGAAGGGGCCTTTGAAGCAGGCCGACTCGTAGTGCTTGTTCAGGTAACTCTTGAGCGCGAAGGTCTTGTTGCAGCGTTTGCACTTGAAGTGCTTGAAGGCCGAGTGCGTCTGCATGTGAGCGCGCAGGTTTGAGCGGTCCGCGAAGGCTTTCCCGCAGTGGGCGCAGCCGAAGGGCTTCTCGCCCGTGTGCGAGCGCATGTGGCCCTGCAAGAGCCACGGCCGGCTGAAGGCTTTGCCGCACACGTCGCACTTGTGTTTGAGGTCGTGCGTCAGCAGGTGCATGGCCATGGCGGGCATGGACACGTACACCTTGCCGCAGGTGGGACATTTTTTGGCCAGCTTGCTGTCCAGCGAGCGGTGCGTCTGTTTGTGTCGGCTCAGGTTGGACGAGGTGGCATAGGTCTTGCCGCATTCGTTGCACGTGTGCCTCTGGATGCTGCGAGGGCTCCCCATGGCTTTCCGCCTCGAGCGGCCATCCGTGATGTAAAAGGCGTCCACCGAGTAGCCGTCGCTGACCGCCGCGTCGCCGTTGATGTAGCCGTCGGTGAGCTCGGAGCCCGGGCTGTCTGGAGACTCCGAGTCCGGGGCTCCATAGTCACTGTGGATGCCGTCGTAGAGGGGGTCCGGCGAGGGCACCTTGATCCCGCCGTCGCTCTCGCCGTCGTACACCGACGGGCTGATGTAGTCGCTGATGTAGCCAGCTGTCAAGCGACAAGAAAACAATGCGCTTTAGACTTTGTACTTTGACTTGTCTCATGCCTGTGATGACAGTCGTCTGAGTCCACTTGATGACGATTTGGACTTTTTGATATGATGAAATCGTGACTTTATGGAAAAGCGAAGAGGAAAACAACGCGCAGACAAGAAATGTGTGTGTTTTTTTAGACCGTGCCACAACTCTTTGTTGGCGCTTTTCCAGTCGCACAATCCGTAGTAGCTGGTCAGCCAGGTTTCCATGCAGGCCAAGTTAATAATATGTCGTCACTTCTGAGATGATGAATTATTAACCCCCAAATTGTCTTGACAGTAATATGTTCTACGCGCCTCCACTACTCTAAATGTGGCATTCTGGTTAATATTCCGTTTGTGGAATACTAGTTCAGCATCAAAATCTACCCCTTTTTAGCCATCTCACGAGGCGGCCATTTTGCCAGGTGTGGTCGACAGAAAAAACATTATCGTAAAGAATTTTTGGGGGCTTGACTTCACCTTTAAAATCACAATGGTGGAAGCATGCCAGAGCTCGGAATTGCAAAAGCAGAAAATGTCTCCTTGCGGTTTGAGAGATTGAATCGGCACACGCAAAGTATGTTTGTAGAGTATGAACCGCAAGATCTCCCTTGCAGATGATGTAGTTGGCCACAGGAGTGACGTGTTGTCAGGATATTGCTTTTAAAATATTTTTGTTCAGTTCATTGATTTTTTCCCATGATTCAGAGGGACTTTCCAATGCTGTTCTTATTTGTGAATGGAATACTATGACATCCAGCACACATGTCCGCAGAGCGCCGAATCTATCTACCAGCGGCTCCGTCAAATACGCCACCTGCGCATGCACTTACACCTGGTTTTAGGTCGTCTAAAATGTAGTCTAGATTTGGTAACCAAATTGGTAGATGTGCCGGGGGTTGGTGGAGGGGGGGGGGGGCAGCAGGAGCGCCCAGTGAGGCGTAGCAAATTCACAAACACACTGAAGTAGACCATTGGCACGAAACTGGAGAGAATCCGTAACTCCAAAGTGGCCCGTGACAAAAGTGAGTTTGACACCTCTGACTTCTTGGGATTTGAATCATTGTTTTTTAACTGTAACGTCAACAACGACAATTAATTTACGGGAAGTACACGGAGCAGTGGCTGGGCTTGTCTCTATATGTGTAACTGGCTTCTTACTCAGTCAGCTCGCCCACAAGCGAGTAATATTAGCAAATTCACAAACACACTGAAGTAGACCATTGGCACGAAACTGGAGATGCCCCCATTTTTAAGCCAATTCTTTTGTCTTATATATCGGTATATACATTTTTGGGTGAGATGGGAGCGAAGCAGCTCCGTGAGCCACAACAGGTGCACCGCGACCCCAAACATGGTCGACTTGACTTGCGCTGGCATGAAGTTACGCCCGTTTTTACGGCAAGCACGTGGGCACCAGTCTACCAAAATAGGTTCACACGTGTTTTGTACCGCTACACGGGAATAAGTTGCTTTTGAAGGGTACCGAGGTAACAGGTCGGCTGTGTGCCCACGGTGAGTCTACCCGTAAGTACAGTCCAAATGACTGACATCTCGTGAATCACAATTTCTCTTGATGATTGGTCGCTTTATGATGATAAAGTACATGGAGACAAGATCATCACCAATTCAGTACTGATACATTTTGTGTCATTTTTGTTAGTTGGGGTTTTTCTAATGTAAAATGTCTGCCTTGGCTCTATTACAGGTGGGGAAATTTATGTTCTCCACTTCTGGAAACTAATTTGGCTAGCCGATGAGTAATTGGAGAATGCTGTACTGAGTAGTCTCAATTTTGTTACACCAGTCCGTTTTTTTGTTGTTGTTGGTTTTTTTTTCCCTCTTGACAGTCACACAGTGAATAGAATCGATCTTACTGAGGCAAACGCTGACATGCCAAATCCAGTTTGTGTTAGTTTTGTTTAGTATCGTTCAGGCTACTGGTTTAATGCAACATGCTTTTCTTCCATATTTTATTGAAGTTGGAAACTGACCTCCCAAAACTAAAATCAAAAGAGCTGAGATGCAACTGAGCAGTGGATAATGAGTTGTCAAACCTTGCACTGTCAACCTTAGCTAGTGACTCGATGGCTTTAAGCAGATCATGATTGACACCGAATTGAGTCCGATTGATAACAGGCAGTTCCAAATCTGGAGCCGTTGAACTCGGAATGATTCTCAATATTTTGATGGCTTGTCTGCTTCGTGGCAATATTGTTGTTGTAGAGGAGCGTGCGCAGATTCGTTTGCCCTAACTGCCTGTTGCTCATTGGGAGCCATTATTCAAATAACACGTCACGTTTATAGTGAGACATTCGTGTCTACTTGAATATACAGTATGAAACATGAAACCTACAGCATGGACTGATGACTGTGCACTTAACCTGCATGGTTGTCATAGGCACTCTCAACTTTCCAGACACAATTAGTACAAGAGCGTTGCATATTTTAAGTCCTCATGGATGTAATTCTTGAGGGTGAAAGTGGTGGTGTGAGTGTGTATATACTGTATGCGTGTGTGTGTGGGTGAGCGTGGGTGTGTGTGTGTGTGTGTGTGTGTGTGTGTGTGTGTGTGTGTGTGTGTGTGTGTGTGTGTCCTATACAAAGTTTGTAACAGATATTTACTTGAGAGATCTTGCAATGAATGTCAAATCATTAAGTAGAAAGTATATTTACATTCAAAGAGCGTTCTAATAGCTTTCTTTGATCCTTGAATGCCTTTATTCTCCTGCACAACACAACTGTTCAACAAAACCATCGAAACTGACTCGGGCATTTTTCTTCTATCCTTCTCATCGAAAAAAAATAAATAAAATCACAAAACTTCTCGCTTACAAAGCCCCCTGGTGGTAACTTGAGCAGGGTATTTTGCTCTGAGATCATCCGCCAAACACGTACAACTAATGTTATATTTGAATTGGGCTCTCAGTTTCTCAAATACGTGTTAATCAAGTAAAAGCATAAAAAGAAACTATAGTGTGTGTGTGTGTGTGACACACACACACACGCCACGCATCATCCATCTCCCTGACCACATAATTTATTGATTAACAGCAAATTAGGCCATCCACTTTGAACGTGTATGAATAAGTCACCTTCTGCGGGTTTTCATTTTTATTGTTTATTAAATCAGGTTAAAAGCTTTCATTTTAAAAGCCACATTGTATGTGTGTGTGTGTGTGTGTGTGTGTGTGTGTGTGTGTGTGTATACCAAATAGTCCATGGATCATCAACTATTGGACAACAATGCTAGCATAGTTGGGCAGCAGCAAAGTGGATTATTTTCTTCTATATGGTGTGGCAACTAAGCATACAGCCACCGTCAGCACTGTCGCAAGAAGTTCTGACGACTTTTACTACATCCTAAACTGAAAACCCTCCAGGAAATGGCGTATGAAAACAAAAGCCGACTGTATCCTTAGACATAATTTAACGCCTGAATATGCCTCCTCTGGGTCTTGAAACTTGTCTCTCCTAATGTCTTTTTAAAGCCATAAATTGTCATGCCATGTTTTCAGGGCACTGGCTTGACTTTCGACACATATAAAAGCAAAATGAAACATCTAATAGCCAAGGCAGCGGGAAGATTGCGACCACTTGTACAACTCAGTGAGATCCAGCATAGGAGCTGTTTCAAACTTTTTTTTATTTTATTTTATTTTTTTAACAAAGGTGGCAATGTTCACTTTTGAGTGACGTGGTCTTAGAGTTGTAAATAGAACAATGTTTCTCATCACAGTTGAGTAGCATTCCGCTGCCTAATAAGTAGAGCTGTTCCTAAATTTTTGATTTGCTCATGTGACTAATCTTGGTCACGAAAATATTAGACACGGCTCTGGTTCTACTTATATGTGACTGTGGGTTTAGATCCAACATGTCATTGGTTCTTTTAGCGATGATATGTGAGTATATGTCATGAAGTAATCTCGTGTGCTTGTTTTTGGAAGGCAGGAGGAAGCCTGAGTACCTGCGGAAAAAAAACAGGCCGGCGTGAGAGCCAGATTTGAACCCACCAACTTGGCAAAAAACGTGCTAATTTCGATCTCCATTGAGCAGCCAATGGTATATCCGGCAGAATATAATTTTCCAATTTACGATGAATTCAACTTCCCTGTAGCGACAAAATTCAATGCGAAATGTTGCAAAGGGCTACGATTTTGTTTTGATTTTAGTGTTTATACTCCGCATGAAATCGTCTTAGTTTTCTTTCGCTGTTACTCAGCTGAGGCGGAGAGCTCCTTCAGCCTCTTCTAGTTTCTATCAGCAGAGTGTCCCTCCTATCTGAGCGTTCCCATTGCGCACAAAGCAACACAAGTGGGATATCAATTATTCCCAACTCTGCTTCATCCGAGCAGAAAGTTGCTGCTAACGCGCGGCAGGCCGGGTCGAGCTAAATCCTGCATTGCAGTGAGCGGTACGGCCACGTCGAGCTTTTGAATGATGGAGGGGGGGGGGGGGGAAAAAAAAAAAAGGAAGCGGAGGACTGCGGGTCGCGTGTGAAGCCACACAGGGCTTGTTAGCCTCGACGTGATGAATACGCCACTGACAGATTTTTTTTTTCTTTTTTCTATCTTCTCCGACGCTCAAACACAAGTGAGGGTCAGGCGCGGGAAGCACACGCTGATGCAACAGCGTGTCAGTGGCGCCTCGGTGGAGGCAGGGAGAGGAAGCACGGAGACGTCTGTTCAAGGGTGTATTGAAGTTCACAGTGCACAACAATGAGTCACGCTGTTGCCGGAGGATGTACAGCAATGAGGCGGACTAAAGACTACGAGCACAATAAAATAACACTATCTGCATTTAACTGTGACTCAAACACAAATCGCAAATGAAACTTGTTGAGTCAATTGATCCTTCTGTGTGAGAATTTTACGGGGCTGATTTGTAGGAAGCAGAGTGCATTCATCGTAAATTACGAAAGACGAACAGTTGCTTGGAGGGAAGTTAAAGGTGTGTGTCTGACAGTGCGCAAAAAAATGATTGACACGCTGAAAGTCGCGCTTTTTGTTTTTTTTCATTGTTTTTTTTTTCCTCAGGTGTGGTGGTTTCTTGAATATCAAAGGCACGAAATGAGGCCAGGGAATTGGGTTTACTTTTTCAACATTATCATATCATATTTAAAATGTAATATTGCCGCGTCATAATGACTATTTTAACAAATATGGCAAAAAAAAAAAAAAAAAGTTTTAGTTTTTTTTTATTACAACCTCAGCCATGAATGCAAACATACAGTGTGAGCCATTTCAGTGATTTTTCTCATGGGGGAGGGGAATACATTTGTTCCTGAGTCAAGTTAACTGCATCATAAAACCTTCATTAACTGAACTTTTAACCGTATTAATGACACAACAAGCGTAAAATGAGTTCACAGTTTTCAATCCTGGTTCCAAGCAGGATACTTGTGTTTCTTGACAACAGAAACATATTTTACCCTTTTACTTGTTGCTATTATTGAAAACAGTTTTAATTCCACACGTTCAGGTTGCAGACATATGTACTTTGAAAGTACGTGAATATATTAGAAGATTAAAAATAGCCATCCGTCCATTTTCAGTGGCACCGAAGCCAATGCCAAATGACTGGCTGAAAAGGCGGACTGCACCCTGGAGTCACACAGGGCACACACAGAATGGGAACCAAACCCTCACTGTCTGCACCCAAGTCAGGGACAATGTATCACTGCATCATCAACTCGACTAAAATATTTCCAATTGTATTATTAGTGAGCTTTTATGGTGATCTGTATACTTATCGAGTGTTGCGTAACAGGTATCGTGGATACGGGGGGGGGGTGGTTGGCAGTTGGTTGATTTAAAGGGTATTTACCTAATCACCACACAAACAAAGTACCTGACACAGAAACACTTAAGGAAGTTGAAATTGCCCAAGGGCAAAAGTAGCAGGGGCTTTACCATTGTTAAAAAAAACCCCAACAAAAACTCGAAACACTCCACCTTATCTTTGAGACCAATCAACGCTGTATTCTATTCTTCATCACTTTTTCCATTCTTCTTCTTCTAACGACCCCCCCGAGCCAAATCGTCCTTTCAGAATAAGGGCATTTAATCCTTTGATGCTCACTAAAATGAGCTCCTGCTTGATATGCAGAGCTCTCATGTGACGCCATGCATGACAATGTTTTCGAAAACATATAAAGCCACACACAACATTGTTCCCCAAAATGTTGTTCAATTCCGAATCGTACACGCTCAGAGGTATTTGACTTTATAAGTGTCTATTGCATACCTCACGTTCATCGCTCTCGAGCTACACGCATCATAACTATCACAGATGGAAGCCTGTTGAGTATCTTTTTTTTTTTTTTTTTAAGAATTTGGACTCGAAATGACCCAAGAAGTCCGAAGTTGAAAGGTTTGTTGCTCTAAACGACCACCTGTCCCCCGTTCATCCCCTTTACCCTTACTTAGCCTGTGTCGGAGGAAGTGCGTTGGGGAAGTGGGCTGTTGACTCGGAGCTAAAAATCAATAAAACATGGGATGGATTGAGTTCATGCGACCTTCCTGCTAACATCTACTTTAGAATAGCTCAGCAGGGCGAGTGTGTGTGTGTGTGTGTGTGTGTGTGTGTGTGTGTGTGTGTGTGTGTGTGTGTGTGTGTGGGACAGTCGTTGTCAAACGAGTGCTTAAGAAATTTGAGAAGGTTAGATTCCCCAGTTTAGCCCGTGAGCAAGGCAGCTGAGTGCTCCAGTATGTTGTCTACTGTGATGGTTTCAATGCAGAAATGAAGTTTTGGGCAAAGCATGTAAAAATAGAAACAAAAACAGTCGAGTTGCTTGTAAAACAGCAATTGCATCCTCAGCACATTCCAGTTTGTGCTGTGGTTGCAGTGCACGTTCAGTGAAACAACGGCAGCCGCACACCTGTTCAAGATGAGCCCGACCTACCTTTGTCATGTAGCCGCAGGCTGAGCTCCGTCCTGGGCCGGTAGGCGCTCTCCAAATCATCCGTGGTGGAGAAATCGTCCAGTTTCACCTTTTTCACCAGGAAAGACCTCGGCATGGTGGTGCGACACACACACGCGCACACACACTCAGCCACACGAGTCCACACACACGCAACCGCAGCAGACCGGTGTGGCCAGCGTGCCCACCAGGAGCACGCTCGTGAAGCTGTCGAGCAGGTCTTTTAATTTTGAAAGATTTTTTTTTTTTTTAAAGTGTGCTAGAAATTCCACCACTGGCTCCTCCTCGGGAGAGCGGGAGCAAGTTCAGCACCGGACAGCTCCTCTCGCTCAGCTTCCTGTGCAGCAGGCAAGCGGAAGTCCACTCTACGCCAGCCTCACGTGCAGTGAAGAATAAATAGATCAGCGTTTGTCTTGAAAGAAGAGGAGAGGAGAAAGAGGGAGGGGAGAGTGGAATTTGGAAGCTTTGCCCAAGAAATCTCCAGTCCCGGTCTCCGTGGAAGTAGTCCTCAAGTCCGCCCGGCGACTCGTCGGCTCATTGCATCCCCCCCCCTCCCTGCAGCTCCTCTTCTCTTTCTGCTGCTTCCCTCTCCCTTCTCTCCTCTCCCGCTTTGTGAGGCGAGCTGTTCCGTGCCTCTGTCGTCTGACGATCAGCTGACTGCATTTATAAGCGAGGGGGGAGCGAGAGAGATGTACATAGAGAGAGAGAGAGAGAGAGAGAGAGAGAGAGAGAGAGTCCAAGGAGTGCTTAATTTAATCCATCCCTCCTCTCAAGGGAGTGTTGACTGGCCCGGATGATTTATTGAAGCTGTTAAACCCCCCCACCCGTCCCACCCACCCCTTTTTTTGGTCTTTTTTCCTGTTTCTTTCCATCATTTTCTTTCTTTCTTTATTTATTTCTGGAAGTAGTCGGCATACTTGGAAGTGATGGGAAAAAATACTACTTAGGTATCATCGCCATTGCATTCGCCACCTGAGAGCTACGTGCAATCAGGATTTCCTGCGCCTTTGTCAAGGTCAATTACAAAAACACGTTCAAGTTCATCTTTCCAAGCTTTTACAGAAGCCATCCATTTTCCATAAGGCTTAGAGCGAGCAGCCTATCAGAGCCGATATTGGTCAATTACCCCGCAAGGTTATTAAAGCTAATGCACACTAACCAAATAACTCAAACTCAAAATAAGAGGAAAACAAAAATTCCATTAACGTAATGAAATGAAAATGAAAATGTTTCTTTTTTTAAATGAAAACGAAATGAAATGCCATCTAATGTTGATAAAACTAACTAAAACTAACTATAATTAGAATGAAAATGTCCTTCAATCTGTCCTCGATTAGTATCGTTCATGAGCTTTTGGGGCTTATGTTAAATGTATTTATTTCGGTATTGCTGTACATCTGTACAGAAGGAAAGAAGGTCAAGCAGTTGTTTGAGAATTGTATTTTATTTTACTTTATTATGCAATACTTTGTTGAGTTTTTTTTTTTTTTAGCTTACTCTTGACCAATACTCCATATAAAAAATAAAAAAAAAACAACCAAATACTAAAACTAATGAAAACTAAAATGGAGCATTTTCAATCAACTTAAAACTAATACAAATAAATAATCTCGCTGTAAAACGAATTAAGTTTTAAAAACAAAAATTAGAACCAAATCAAATCAAACTACAATGCAGATTGTTCTAAGCTCCAACCAAAACAAAAACAATCCTCCACATTCACAGTGGACAACTTCGAATCTTCAGTTCCCATACTATGTTTTTTTTGGGAATGTGTCAAGGCATGTGCACTCCATGGTTTTAATCCTGAGATGAGATTCAAACCCAGAACCGTCTAGCTGTGAAGCAGACCTTTCAACCACTATTTCAGTTGAAGAAACATATCTGCTCAAAAGGATTTCTTTACTTACAAACAACTTTGTCGTGAAAGGCGCACAAGATTAGACTCAAAGGGTCCTTGAGCAATTATTTGTTTGGGATTTTTTACCACTGGAAATAATATGTTCCAGGTGGTCCAGTGGTTAGCGCTTTGACTTCACAGTGCAGAGGTCGTGGGTTCGATCCCAGCTCCGGCTTTCCTGTGTGGAGTTTGCATGTTCTCCCCGGGTCCGCGTGGGTTTTCTCCGGGTACTCTGGTTTCCTCCCACATTCCAAAAACATGCACAGCAGGCTGATTGAACACTGTAAATTGTCCCTAGGTGTGAGTATGAGCGCGGACGGTTGTTCCTCTCTGTGTGCCCTGCGATTGGCTGGCAACCGGTTCAGGGTGTCCCCCACCTCCCGAAGATACCCGCGATAGGATCCAGCACCCCCTCGCGACCCTTGTGAGGATAAAGCGGATCGGAAAATGAATGTTCCAGTGTTGTTACACTGGAACATATTATTTCAGTCACTATTACAGTTGTTTTGACTCATTAATTCACTGTTTAAGTGAGTTCATGAAGCCCAACATTGTGATCTTGAAACATCGTGTCATTTAGTTTAGTATTTTTTTTTTTTTAATCAACTGCTCTTGTCTCCTTTCCTTGCTTACATCCACGGCGACACCAATTTTTGAGGCAAATATGAGCAATCATGCTGGAGCACCTGGTAATTATCATTATTATGCATGAATGTGGCCCCTCAAGGCAAATGGATGTGGACCAAATGGAATGTTGCTCAGTGTCGAGTGTGTAAACTGTGAGAACGATCCGGGGTCAGTTCTGAAATAAAAAAAAAACAAAACGAGGACCGTCTCGCCTCCGTGTCCCTGTTATGTAACAACAGCAACATAATAAAAGAAAGCAAGGAATCATTGACGAGAACAAAAGAAGAACTGCTCTCTCTTCTTCGTTTTCCATTTCATTTCACTACTATCACTCAATTTCATCCTCATCATACGAGGATGATTGAGGACTTTTTTTTTTTTAATCTTCAAGGTCTGCTGAGCTTGTGTGTCTTACTCAATAATAGCCCCCCCAAAAAAAGCATGCATACAATTTTTTTAAATGCCTGTTTTAGGTGATATCCATCTAACAAAGGCTAGTATAAATGAATCTTGCTGTAGCTTTAACAAGGCAGCACTCTGGCTCATAATTGCAGGCCGGGAAAGTTGGTGGTCATCTGTTAAGGCTTCGATTAATTTCAGTGCACGTCTTTGATCTGCGGGGAAACCACTTAAAAGATGAAGAATTTGCAGTAATGTGAAAGTTGGTGCTTACAGGACCAACTTTAGCGAAAAAGTTACAGTTGTCACGTCCCTCACCTCACTGAGTTTTCACGATCAAATATGACCCATTTTTGTGAACTTCAGGCCAGCCCTTTACCTTTAGGCGGATGCTTTTAAGGCACACGCCAGGTCTTCCTGTTGAAATGGATGAGCTTACGTTCAACATTATTTCTGAAAATGAAATGAACGTTTACGTCTCTAAAACCAAACGAAAAATAACGTGACACTTAAATTATTGAGAAGAATGCATGTTTTTTTTTTCATCCTAACATTTACCTGTTAAAAAAGTCATGAAAAAGCTAAAGAAAAATCAGTCGGCAGAGTTAATCATTTAAATCAATGGACTTTGCACTGCGGCAGCCCAGTGGTCGACTGGTTAGCGCGTCTGCCTCACAGTGCAGAGGTGCAGGGTTCGATTCCAGCTCCGGCCTTCCTGTGTGGAGTTTGCATGTTGTCCCCGGGCCCGCGTGGGTTTTCTCTGGGTACTCCGGTTTCCTCCCACATTCCAAAAACATGCATGGCAGGCTGATTGAACACTCTAAATTGTCCCTAGGTGTGAGTGTGAGCGCGGATGGTTGTTCGTCTGTGTGTGCCCTGCAATTGCCTGGCAACCAGTTCAGGGTGTCCCCCGCCTACTGCCCGAAGACATCTTGGATAGGTTCCAACATGCCCGCAATCCTTGTGAGGATAATTTAACCTGAAAATAGATGGATGGATGGGCTTTGCACTGTACAAAATCCACAGTTTAGTCAGTTTGCGGTCACATGACGGTGGGGGTAAAAAAAACACATGTAAAACCACGCACAAGTAGGGGCAGAAATTGCAAACTCCACAAAAGAAGGCTATGACCGAGATTTGAACCTGAACATCAGAACTGCAAGACAGATGTGCTAACCATTTAACCAGGCTGTCAAAACACAAATAAATCAAACTAATTTTTCTTCATTGAATTTAAACACCTTTCGCTCATGCGTGTGTGTGTGTGTGTGTGTGTGTGTGTGTGTGTGTGTGTGTGTGTGTGTGCGTGGT